TAATGAACAAGGTGAAGTTGGTGATCCATTGGGTGACAAATGCAAGACTTGGACGTCATTGATGTGAATGAAAACAATTGAAAGCATTGAGTGAATGGCGATTGAATGCAACACTCGTTTCACAATGAATTTCACACAACCATCCAATTGGTAATCACTTGCAAACTGACCAAGATCATCACGATTATGCACCATCATCGGCAATACATTCACCGCAAGTGATGTTCATTGGTTGCCATCGCTGTTACTATTGTCCCAATACTTGACACATACGCCCCTAAAACGGTGGACACTTTTTCGGTGAGTTTTCATAAGCGCTCATCACATGTGAGACAATCGGTGGCTAATTATGTCTTCAATTGAAGGTATCGTTTGGCAAAGAGATGACACAAACCGCAGGTTTAGCTCAAAATATGGACGAAATGGATGATAATTTCGATGCCTTTAATGACGAAACTTTTGGTGATATCGATACGGATTGGGAGACAGAGCACGAGAAGTTGATGTCCATATCTGATCCCAACCGCTCCCATGACAACACCGCCGCTGATATCAATAGAAATACTTTTGCGAAAAACACTTCACTTAATGAGAGCCACAATGAAGAGGACATGCATTTTGTTTACGACGATATTGTGTCGAAAAATATCTCCAATTTGGTTCTGGAGGACGAGGAGTTCGAGGACCCGGCGATCATGACTTTCTCCAGAAGTGCTAAACCATTGATGGACTCCAGCCGACGGGACAGCCGCTCATCGCCTCCACCGCCAGCTTTCCTTTCGTACGAAGAATATTCCGCTTCTCCGAAGACATCAAGCATTTGGAGCACAACTCAAATGGACACAACTCTGACGCCAAGTTCTGTGAATATGAGAACTTTGGAGGAAATTGAAGGCAATCTGATCCACAAAAATAGTGATAATTTATCGCAGTTGTCAACAATCCAGAGACCCATTAGAATGGAGGACTTGGAGACAAGTCTTATGAATGAATCGATCGCCGCACAGATGGGCGAGACTCGTGTACTGGCGCCCGAACAGAGTTGGTCACCCTTTGGGAGTAATTCAATGCACGGATATCTACAGAACGGAAGAATGGCTTCGGAGATGATGTCAAGCCTCGAACCAATCGAAAGAAATTTATTGTCCAATGAATCGTCGAATCAACACAAAAATCTTGACATAAATGCCATCCAATCGGCCGCTCGACTCGCCTTATCTGCATCTCACGACTCATGATGTCAAGCCTCGAACCAATCGAAAGAAATTTATTGTCCAATGAATCGTCGAATCAACACAAAAATCTTGACATAAATGCCATCCAATCGGCCGCTCGACTCGCCTTATCTGCATCTCACGACTCCAATCAATCAATGGATCCGTTATTGAAAGCGCAGACATTGGCTGATATTGAACAACAACTCATTTCAGGTCAGAGTCGGCCACAAAAACCACAAATGGCTCAAAATGTGCCCAAACCTGAAGCAACTGTTCCTGTGATGCGATCAAACACTTTGCCTAATATTCAGAGCCCTATTCGAGCCGTGAATCAGCAAATGAGTGCTCATGTGAGTCAACAAATGAGGCCTCAAATGAGTGCAATGAATCAAATGCATAATCGTGTGAACAATATGTATAACAGACCGCCGGTTATGCATATAATGCCGGGAATGCATCCGGCGATGGGGCGCACCATGTTTTCACCGGCACTTATACCCAATTCTCAGCGCATATTTCCATATCCCCTGCAAAGGCCTATTATGCACCCATTACTCCATCCAATGCAACTGCAGCACCAATTTCATCAACAAAGACATCATCAGAACTATCAAAACAATTTTCGACATCAGAACCGATACCATGAGAACTATGACAATGAGGACGACTACTCGGGTCTTATGA